TGTTTAAATATTTTAGATAAGGCAATAGCTTATCACAAAGTGCTTATCCAATTCAATCTCTTTATTTACGGATTTTTGATTTAAATATTTTGTTTAATTTGTTTTAAGGATTTTTAAAATACTTTCTACAAATAGAAAGTCAAAAAATCAACACAATTATTTAAAGTTTCTATTTCGGATTTTTTCATCAACCCTTTTTTATATATATAGATTCCTATACTATTATCATAAGTGTTCGTATGCTTCTTGCCTGAGTTTTATAAATTTTTTTATCTTAAATTTAATGTACAAATATTAAATCTAATAGTAGTGAGATCACATATAATTTTTTTTAAAAAAACATATAACACACAAACATTCTTCATTATTCATCATAAATAAATAAATAACAATATGTTTGTAGATTGTTTTTTATTCATTTTCCACAACATACAAATTAAATCAAATTAATTTGTATGAATTGCAAATGCCATTTTAAAATTAAAGTAACGCAGCAGTTACGTAGGAACGTAGGGGAATATTCTTAATATTTGAACACGATATATATATATATATGTATTATTATTATTATATTTATTATGTTATTTATTATTTAACTGTTGAAGACTGCAATTCAATTCATATTGTTCATTATCATTTTTATTTATATTTATTATTTATTGATGTACTTTATAACTATTGCTATTATTTATAAGTCTTTGATAATTAGTAATTGTTAATTTTTATTTTATACATGAACAACAATTCGATCACATGAATGAATGCCCCAAGTGAAGAGTTTTATTTTTTTTCATTGCTAATTGTAATTATTAATCTCTATATGTATAATTATTCTTTTTTTTTTTCGAAATGATAGAAGATATTATAAATCAAAAGGCACAAATGTGCAAATACACAGCAGCCAACGACTGAATACACAGCAGCCAACAGCTGAAAAAGTGGGAGGACATGTCAGAAGACCGCCTAGAATCCCGGCTAGCAACGCTAGAATAAAAAGCACTCACAACTAAACTAACCAACAACACAAACCACTAAAACAAACTACAAGACCCCAACAGGGTAATACCCGAGTGTCGAACCCCAACAGGGTAATACCCGAGTGTCGGACCCCACCAGGGTAATAAGTTGACACTCGGGTGCTAATTATTCTTCATTAGTAATTATTTTATTTTTAAAGTGTGGTTGTGAATAATAAAGTGAAATATTTTAAAACTTCAAAATTCAAATGAGCAACTAAACATATTTGTATTGTACGTAAACCCACATGCAATTTGACTTTCCATACATTTTCTAGGCTTTCCCAATATAGAAAGAGTATTGTAGGGCCCACCTCTAACTTTTTAAAAATAGAAAGTGAGTTGCCTAATTATATAGTAGATAGATATATTTGATCATCAAATTATACACCAAATGTTCTTATTTGTATAATTATTAAGGGATATATATGATTATTTATTTTGATTGGATTATTTTGTTTGGTTAAGTTTGAAAAATGTAGTATGATTAGTTTTTTTTTTTTTTTCGAAGTGATAGAGATTTTTATAAATAAAACGCACAAATGTACAAATATATAACCTCCAGCCGAATGATACAACTAACAACTGAAAAAAATTAGGAGAATTGATCCGAAGACGCCAAGAAACCGACACTAGCAACGCTGAAAACCACTTGGCAACACACACACACAACACAACAAACACTACTAACACTGCAAAGCTCCCAAAGGAAAATGAAAGATCCCAACGATGTAATACCCGCTCACACTCCAGTTCACTGAGACCAACAACCCAAACCAAAAACACAAATTCTAAACAACAACTGAACATAAACAACACCAAAACAAAGAAAACTAACAAAGCTAAAACAAACAATAAAGCATTTCCCTATCAGACTAACCAAGCTACGCATAAGGAACCCACAGATAAAGGTCGACCATTCCCACAGCTTAACCCGAAGTCCAGAGCGCCACACCCGAAACTGCTTAATCGTCTAACTGAAGCCACGTTCTGGAGGCCCGAACCACTCTTAGGGAGTAGCCGACCCAAAGTTGGACAAACAAAGCCAGACCCAGCCCCACACACCACTACCCCAAACCCGGTGACCACCACTGGCCTAGGTCCAAAGTGCCGGTCTTTTCCGTCCTGCACACCAAAGGAGCGGAGAAATATGAGAGTCGAGCCTCGCCCCTCAACCCCAACCAACCCGCCTTCGACATTAATGAGCAGCCAGGGACGCGCCCTTCCCTCGATCCAACACCACCATCCGACACAACACACAAACCAAAGAGGCGAAAAAGATTTTCGCGAAGGCGACCACCACATTATGAGGACCGAACATCCGACTTCCTCAATTGGCACAAACCGATTGGAGATGTCATAGAATCGGGACAAGAGACTGCGGCTAAGGGCCATCCACCGGCAAGAGGACCGGTTATTCGTCGGGGAAGGCGAGAAAAATTTGAAATGACGGCGCTAGGACGAGGGGGTTAGGGTTTCGGCGAGAGAGAATTGGGTGGGTGGTATGGTTAGTTGTTAGTGGATTTTAAATTTATATTAAAATAATATTAAAAATAAAATAATTAAACTTGATTTGATATAAAAGTAGGAAATAGATGATATGAAGTGATGTTTAGTTAAAATTATGTGAGTGAGTGAATAATAAAATAAAACTGATGTAATGTGTAAAAATGATTAATTGACCTTATTTATTTATATTGATAATCTTTAGGATAGTGGAGTTTGTTAAAGTTAAGTTAGATTTGAGTTAGAAAAGTAAACTATATATATGAAAATATTGTATTTACTTAAAATAGAAATCAAAATCCCGCCAAAAAATTCTAAAATTATTAAAGTTAGTAATCATTTTCTGAAATTTATAAAATGATTCCGTTTCTAGAAATTAACTAATCAATTTATGGTGCAAAATTGACAAAATTAATAAATCTGAGTCTTAGTATAAAGTGGATGATTTTATTTGAGATATCTCATGACCATTTCTATTTTTTGATAGGAAATGTGTTGTTATTAATAAATGTTCGAACTTATGGAATAAAATGGTGATTTTATTTTGGTATAAAATTTCTGAATTTAAATGGTACGAATTTTAGTTGGTACGGATAGAAGTGTATTTGTAAATTTTGCAAATAAAATAAGTGGTATGAATTATATTTGGTATGGGTATGAAAATTAAATTTTAGGTTAATTTGTTATAAAATCAAGTGATATAATTCTCAAATTTTAGCATATTCTCATAATAACTTGCCATAAGATATTGATAATAATTCGACTAATTGATATGTATTTTTCTTGAAAATAAGAAAGATCTTTGAACAAATATTAGTAAATAAATTTAAGATTTGTAATTTGACTATACATAATTAGTTGATAAATTTGAATGATAAGGTAACCGACAACAAATCTAAAAAATTATGAGATACTATAGAAATATATATATATGAAATATATGAGGTAATTTATCGAGCAATTAAATTTTGGGTTGCAAATAATAAAGTTATTTAAGTAATTATTCATAACTTACTGGTCAATATAACTTGAACGTAAATGAAATAGTCAATTATTTATAATTTAATAAATTACTCAATTACTTAAAAATTTTCTATTTGGATAGCTTATACAAAATAAATAGATTTTAATTAATGGAGCAATATATGTTTTACATATATACATATTATTTACATAAATTTTAAATATATGATAAAATTTTACTAACATAATTATTTTATGGAATCACATTGTAGTCAAATCGAATTTTTGAATTAAATTTTAAAGTGACAGTAATTTTAAATAAGTATAATGTAATTTATTATCAGTTACGTTACGTACTAGTTGTGTTATAATTTTAATTTGACATGTTTTATGTAATTTTGCACACTTTAAATTTAATATAACAATTTCAATAAATTAATATAGATAAATTGTATAACATATTAATTCCTTATTTTTAATTTATAAATATTATTTACTGAGCATTTTATTTATAAATATTAAATACTTCTTTACCCGTGCATCCCACGGAACTTTCACTAGTTATACATAAACCAACATTCAGTGTATTTTGGATATTGCCATATTGGATAGTAAAATAGTTGGAAATTTACGGAGGACTTTATTTTATTGAAAAATATTTTATTCTATTTCTTAACAGTTTTTTCAATATATAATAAATATTCACATGCCACAAGTATCAACATTTTTTATTGGAACTAAATCACCTTCTAGTAAAATTAAAATTGTTCAAGTCAAACAAACTTGTTTTAGTAATTAATTCTCAACTGTACATTTGGCTAAAACCAAATAAATTAATCAAAATATATATTCCATTACATGCACTGCTTCAAAAGTTTATTTTATATCCCAGTTGGACTGTAGACTTGTTAAATAAACGAGCCAAAATTGAGCTCGAGCTCGGTTCAGTAAGGCCTCAAGCTCGAGCCCTAACGAGCTGATCTCGAGTTTTAACGAGACGAACTGTAAAAAATTACATAAAATTTTTTTTTTCGAGCCGAGCCGAGCTAGATTCGTTAACTAAACGAACTTTAAGTAAATTCGAGCTTGGCTCGTTAAGGCCTCGTACTCGAGCTGAACTCGAACCTTAACGAGCCGAGCCAAACTCATTTAATTTAACAGTACTAAATTCACCAACATGAAACAAACGTCACGAACGCACTGCAATATGACAAATTCAAAATTTCAAAGGGAAAAAGAAAATAAAATATATTACACAAGATAAAATACCCCTAAATTGTGGCCATCAGTAAAAGCATTAGACAAAACACAAGTATTTGTTGACTCAAGATCAAAATTAACAACATACATAATTAATTTCATGATTTTTATCAAAATTAACAACATACATAATTAATTCATGATTTTTTTTTTCTTATTATTATTATTATTATTATTATTATTATTATTATTATTATTATTATTATTATTATTATTATTATTATTATTATTATTTGATTTTATCATGTGGGGGTGTCATGGATTGTTGTGGGCTGTTTGGCAGTAGCATTCCCAGGCTTCAGGCTGATAATTTGCAATTTGTGTGGTGGGCACTTTAACAGCAATGCATGGCTTACAATCCCCACATTTGTGCTCACATTTTGGTGGCATAGAACCCAATCTACCAATTCCCTTCAACAAAATAAATAAATAAATAAATCATGCAATTTAACATCAATTTTGAGATCAATATACTAGTAAGTGCATAAAAATTAATCTAATTAAATATAATTAGTGTAGTATAATATTATTAATTCTTGGGACATCTACAATTAGCTTCTCCTACATTCATAAAAGTTCAAAATATATATAGAAGAAACAAATATTAGTAGATACTTATAAGTTATAAATTCACTAATTTGCTATTCTAAAAGATAAATGTTCCTATTTCTTTTTAAACGAATTAAAAAAAAAATCGGAACAGGAAACTGCAAATTTTATTTGTTACCTGTCGTGAGTTGAAAGAATTAGACTCCACGTGCTGATTTGTGCCTGCAGTTGAACCAAAAAAAATATACAAATATTACACAATTAATTAATTTGTACATTTTTTTTATCAAACGATAAAAATTTTATATTATAAAACACATAGATACATCCAGAGACAACTCAAAAGCCGAAAAAACAGCTCAAAAGCTGAATCTAGTGGGAGGACAAATCAAGAGGATCGCCTAGATCTTACACTAGAACAAAAACGCACCCACTAACAACAGAGAAAAACAAACTCCACAACTGAAAAAAGAACTCCCGTACAGGAGAAACACACTCCCTTACACTAGCCCACAACACAACACTACCCCACTCCCGTGACGCCAAATGAGTCGTCAAACCACCATGGCACCACCCCAAATGGAAATCAAAAGAGGTTCGAGCCTACCCGGGTTTAATCATCCAACTCATTTAGCGCCAAAGACGAGTCGGGTCAAAACAACCAGACAAACACCCACACATATAAACACAATCTTGAAAAATGTCCTACAATCTTGAAAATTATCAATTAATGAGGCAAAAATTTAAACATTCTTGGAGTGAAAAATATATGAGCCAGTTTCCTCTCTAACAAAATAAAATAAAATAAAATATGAGTTAATGAAACAAAAACCTGGATTATTGTAATCAGCAGCAAAGACCCATACCAGCAAAAGGGCAACTGCACAATAGCAGTATATTTTCTTCATACCATCAAACAGATAATTAAATACAATATTAAACTATAGGAAAATAAAAATTAAAATAAAAATAAAAAATTCTAGTTAAAAAAAAAAATGTGATGGTCACCAGCTGATTCACATTTATATAAAAACAGAGCTACAGCCATGTATATGTGTATGCATGTCGGTGGGAAAAAACAAAAAACAATAAAAAAATTAAAAAAATAAAATAAAATATGAAATTATAATATATATGTTATATACTTATGTATATATAGTGCTGCAAAATTAATTGGTTGAATGATGATTCAGGTGAGACAGTGCCCCTTTTCGAATTAATTATTTATTTAAAAAAAAAAAAAATAAGTAGACAAAAATAAAAAAAAAAAAAATTGGTGGAAAAAAATCAAACACACGTATTCCGGGAATACGGTTTCTAAATTAAAACGTATTTCTAGAATACGTTTACAGTATATAAACGCATTCGGCGAATACGTTTTACTAAGAAAACGTAATTAAGATAATTAATCTTAATTAACATATAAAAAAACGTATGGGCCAAATACGTTTTTTACACGTAAACGTATGTGTGAAATACGTTTTACTTGAACCGCATGTTCGGAATACGTTTTTTGGTAAAATTAAAATTTAAACCGTATAGTGCCAATACGTTTTCGCACAAAACGTATTTTGCAAATACGTTTCCATATATTAATTTTCTGAAAAATATTTTCTTGTTAATATTAATTTTCTGAAAATATTAAACGTATTCTACGAATACGTTTTTTTATATTTTGAAAATAAAACGTATACGGCGAATACGTTTTTCTTTGAAAAAATTAATAATA